CTGTATCTCAAAATCTAGTCAAAGGATACGATTGGGCCCATAGACACTTTTAATGGGGACATCAAGTAATTTAACATATCAAAAATTCAGACAATTTGACGGTACTCCCGTTTGCATAAGAAAAGTGCGTGGTCCTTTCCGGGTCATTTTACATGAGTTATGCAAGTAATATGTAACTCTAATATGAACGTCTTCCGACGCACCCTTACGACAGGGGGTTGCAGGAGGGTTGCAATTACAGTAAAAAAATTATAAAAAAAAATCATTTTCGCATGCATGAAACTTGTACACGTTAATTTAAACAAATAAAGTTTAGAAAATATTCGCAGTCTTTAAAAAATAACTTGTGATATTTTAAATGTAAGAGTAATCAGTTTGTAAACATGGAAGTAGACTCAGGAGCAGTTCGTTCAGTAATGCATGAAAATGATTTTGTGAAATTATTTCCAAATCTTGTATTAGAACCTGTAAATTTTAAATTTCGTGTCCTTACAGGCCAAAGAGCAGAAATTTTAGGACAAGTTTTAATAAATGTTACGTATGTAAATAACATCTATTTTTATCATTAGTAATTTTAGGTACTGAGTTGCCATTTATTCCTCTGTAAGGTCGAAACTGGCTAAACGTTTTAAATTGTAACTGGATAAATAATGTACTGGATGAGAGTATTATAGAAAGTAATCAAGTCATAAATGTTCTTGCAAACGATGTAAAAGTTAAGTCAGATTCTGAGGAGATAAAGCTCTCTAGTATTTGTCAAACTGAATCTAAGAATGTCAGACAAAAATTCATTACTAATGTAAAAATCCATTTTTCAAAATTGTTCTTAGATGAGCCAAATTCTTATATTAGAGAATTTAAAGCAAAGATTAAAATTAACGATTATTTTAAGCCAATTTTTCATAGAGCATATGAAATGTCATATGCTTTAAAACCTAAAGTAGAACAAGAATTATCTAATACGGTCAAGTCTGGTGTTTTAACAGATAATAAATCTAAGTGGGTAGAAGTCAAGTTAATGAGTGAAGGTACTAATAAAACAGAAACAAGCGTAAAATTAAAACAATTTTTTTCTGTATTTGGGTTGTCAGTAGAAATAGTGTCGGATAACGGACCACCATTTAATTTGTTCGAATTTAATGCGTTTTGTCAGGCAAATGGTATTAACCCAGTTAAAAGTCCACCATACCATCCGCAAAGTAATGGTATTGCTGAGAGGTCCGTACAAACTATAAAAAAGGGATTAGAAAAGTCTCGTTTCCTTGAGAAGAAAAGGGATATTAGTAGGAAGACTATATTAAACCGTTTAGAAAACTTTCTATTTGTTCATAGAAATACACGATCAAGTTCTACTGGAGTCTCGCACTCTGAAAGTATGTTTAAGTTTAGTCCACGAACCAGATTTGATTTACTTAAACCTGTCCTAAATAAACAAAAAGAGATTAAGTCTGACATTGTTAGAAAAGTTCAGGGTGAGCGAAACTCGATGTCTCGGCTCCATTATGGGACAAGGGAAAAAGATAGGAAAAAGTTGAAAAGAGGTTCTTAAATGGGATATAGTAAGGTCCGTTTTAAGCCCAATTTGCATATTTGTCCATATTTGGAAACTGAGGTAATGACGTCATCGATTTTTTTTTTCGGAAACATACCTATATTTTTACAAATTTAAAAAGAGCTAATTTTTCTGACCACATTTTATGAAATAAAAAATTTGATATCTCCTTCACTTTAAAAATTATAAGCAAATTTGTAAAAAAAGTATAATCAAAAATTCAGAATAGTCACAATTTAAACAAGTCGCCTTTGGAAACAAATAGCAAAGACGTATCTGTCAAATTAAATTAATGGTTGACAAATATTGTTATGTTATTATTTGGCTTTGAAAAATGTTCACGCACAATGAAAAAGTCGACATGTTATTAGTTTATGGGGAATCTCAAAAGAACCCAAGAAGAGCAGTTCAGTTATACGCCCAGAGATACCCCGAACTTGTTATTCCAAGCTTAAAAATATTTGCAAGATTGGAACGCAATTTACGTTCAAATAACAAGGCATTTTCTTCTCGAATGGGAAAAAAAATTGCTAAAAGAGTCAATTCTGATAATACTGTTGCCACTGTTTTGCAGTATTTTGAAACCCATCCAAGAAATTCGATTCGGCAAGCCTGTCGTGAGTTGAATTTAAAATTTTGAAGGAAAATGGTTACCACGATTATAAACTTCACAACTTAGAATACTTATCAGATCAACATCAACAACGAAGATTAAATTATATTGCCCAAGTGATGGAAACGTTAGAGTATGAAAATCGATTTTTTCAGCATGTTTTATGGACGGACGAAAGCCGTTTTGTTAGTAATGGTAAGCCCAATAAAAAAAATGAACATTACTGGGCTACTGAGAATCCACATTTTGTCAATCCGATTGAAAACCAAGGGCATTTCGGAATTAACGCTTGGTGTGGTATTATTATTGGGCATTTGATTGGTCCATATTTTTACGAAGGAATTTTATGTAGTGAGCGATACTTGCAATTTCTTCAAGAACAATTGCCTGTGCTTCTCGAAAATTTGCCATTACAGCTTCGAGCAAATATGTGTTTCCAGTATGATGGAGCATAAAGCAAGAATTGTCCAACGATATTTGAATGAAACTTATGGAGAACATTAGATAGGTATAAATGGACCGATAGAGTGGGCGCCTAAATCACCGGACTTGACCCCACTAGATTTCTTTTTGTGGGGAAATTTGAAAAATAAAGTTTACAGAACACCATCAGTTAACATGGAACATTTAAAAGACAAAATCAGAATTGCTTGCGATGAATTATCTAGAGAAATGTTACGTAAGGCTTCGGTAAGAGAAGTAAGACGGAAATTGGATAAGTGTTTAGAAGTAGGAGGTGGTCACTTTGAAAATTTGTTTTAGTGATTGACTATGCATACAAGCTTTGTTTCTCTCTCTTGTAAGTAATATATTATTTGTTTCTTTTTTACAAATTTGCTTATAATTTTTAAAGTGAAGGAGATATCAAATTTTTTTCTTTATAAAATTTGTACAGAAAAATTAGCTCTTTTTAAATTTGTAAAAATATAGGTATGTTTCTGAAAAAAAAAATCGATGACGTCATTACCTCAGTTTCCAAATATGGACAAATATGCAAATTGGGCTTAAAACGGACCTTACTCTATCCCATTTAAGAACCTCTTTTCAACTTTTTCCTATCTTTTCCCTTGTCCCATAATGGAGCTGAGACATCGAGTTTCGCTCACCCTGTTCAATTGCATTGTGTAAATGATATAGTGTGGGTTAAGAATGTACAAACTAAATTATGGTAAAAGGCTAAAATTATAAGAATTATGAGCCATTCTACGTACCTTGTGCAAATATTGGAAAATATTAAATTTGTACATACAGGAGATATTCGAAAGAGTACTGGAAATCATGTAGAGTTGTCCACTAATTATATTCCTAAGGAAACTATTAATCAGTCACATTCGAATACCTCCATCGCTATTGTTATTAAAGAAAAGTGTCATGTTCCCACTACAGTAATAGAAAATGCAGATGCACCAATGCAACCAAGTCCTATATGCAATGATATGAATTATCAAAGACATTACAACTGGTACATCTGTTGCTTTTAACCTAACAAGATCTGGTAGGTTAGAAAAACCTCCAGTCAAGCTAGATTTGTAAATGTGTGAATTTATCTTAAGTAGGGAGAGAAAATGTTATATCGGAACACCCTCCTCATATTGATAGATGTCATATATACGTTAGTAGTCGTATGTCATGTAATGTTGAGTCATGAAGTAACATGTAAAAATATCTCCTACAATAAAAGTATTAAATAAGTTATAGTGTTTATTGTACTAGTAATTTATAGTCAGTAATAAATATAAGGGAATAACCATCAGGCTATGCAACTTAATTTTTAATTTCAGGAAAATTAGAAAAAAACTTGGCACCCAATTGAATCTGAACCCGGATCGCCCGGATCCAAAGTCTCAAGTTCTACCCACTGCGCTACCCCACCCCGCTTCTTGTAATGTTGTAAAAATGGTGTCATAGATTTTCTAATGGTGTTTAGGTAATTCTTGTTTAGGTACTTGTTTAGGTACTTGTTAGGTGCATACAAGATAGGTTTTCTAATAATGTTTAGAGCAAAAATCTACATAGTTATTTTAAAAATGTACTCGTGTATTTCTGTTTTAATTAATAAATTATTAATGTTTAACTTCTGTTGTCTCTGTAGCTAAGGTATAGCATTACATTACCCGATGAAGGCTTTTTTTAAAGAACTTTTAAACTGATGGAGCTTTTTTGTACTGACCACTTGCAGACTACCACCATTAGACACCAATATCCAAAACTTAAAACCGAAAAAAGTGCAGTTAAAGGTGATTGAATAGAAACAAAATCGAAAAAGTAAACCTTTCTGTTGGCTGATTTTTGCTGACATCGATCTTTAATTACATTTTAATTTTATTGCTATCACACCAAGAACTTTTGATATGTTCAAAACCTCGAGTAATTTAAAACGCTTCTATAACACCCGACATTTTATCTCTTTCTTTCTCTCTGTATTTTCGAGATAAATCAATCACGCAGTCTGCTACACTAACTAGGTACTCGTATTTCCATAGTAACGTGGTCTTATTTGCATTACCGCTACCATCTTTGTATTACGTCGAAACCCTGGATACGCACATAAGCTTTGTTGCCAAAATTTTTTTATCATTATTTTGTCTTCAAAACCTCCGCCATAAAAGAGCTTTTTTGAAGATGTTCCGGAATGGTTTGAATGATAAAATTTTCGGAAAATGTTTCTGTTTTATATCTTATGACCGGGAGCATGGGACCCAGACAAGCATATTCTTCTTTGTTAATTCAAATTATAAAAAAAACATTCATTGAAATATGGAAAGGTTAATGGTATCCCATTGCTTAACCAGTTTATATCTAATAATTATTGAACATTGAAACAATAAATCTTACCTGCTCCGGTAAATGGTTCAAGAGCAAATATTATGCCCGTGACGCCCATGGCAATTCTTAGAGCAATTGAATCTTTGAAATCCTTGTTTTTTTCATCAACAGCACCTAATATGAGCAACATCAGTACCATACTACATAATACTTCGTTCAAAAAGCATTGTACGACATTTAGACCCAATTTGTTCTTCAACAGGCACATATTTTCCATTTCAGGAGTCAGCAACTAAAAAATAAATATGAATATATCTTAGATCTCTATTCAAAATGATTTCGTACGCCGTCATAGACAATAGGTAGGTATCACCATTGGGTTCGTTAATACTTCTTGTTCAAAGCAAAATGATTTAACGAGAAATTTGGACAACAATTTCATAATTAACATGACAAACTAGCCAAAACGTCACTTTTACAAATCTGTGACCTTAGTTCTAAAAGGGCCAATGTCATTTTTTTTGTTTGGGCTTTCATACACCGGTATACTACATTCATTTCAAATTTTATTTAGGTAAATGGACCAATGTCTATTTTCTTCCGTTTAAAAGATACCAAAATAATTGGGGCCAAAGTTAATGTTAGAAATTAAAAGTATTTTAATATAAAAGGGCCAATCTAAACATTGGCCCTTTTATCATTATTATTTCTTACTGTTACGCTGTAACTCTAACCGGCCAAAATTGATATTGGCTAAAAAAAATCTCCAAAAGAGGTGTGTAAATGTAGAAAAAATGTCAGACGACGTACGGTTGGAGATTTTTAAAATTTTTTATAGCCTATCGCAGTCCGGTAATGTTCTTAATCAGTCTTAAATTAATTTGATGATTATAACGATTCCTTGTATCTTTATAATGATGCTTAAGCATAAAAATGTTCCGCATGTTTCCGCTTATTTGCGTTGTAATTTTTTTTGTTATTTATTTTTTATTTATTTTGGTGTCATCGGCGTCGACTACTACGGCCATTAGCCTCGTGTTCTGTGTAGGCTTTGTTACTGTTTCCCAGCGCCACTTTAGGAACAACACTGTTAATTAGAACCCAACAGTGAATGGTCGAGTGGGGAATCCTACCAAGGCATCAGAATTAATTTTAAATAATTAAATTAAATGAAAAAATCCCGGCCAACGGTGGGATTCCCCCAATTTTTTAGTTACGAGCTGCCACTAGTGTTCACATTATCCGTTTACATTCTGCGTTAATATTGTGCGTTTACGTTCTGCGCTCAAACTGTGCAGATTTTGTGCGTATTTATTTTTTGGTGATCATCAGTTTGTATAGAACAGTGTGAACGCTCGCTGAGGAAATAACTTGTCTTCTATCAACTTCTCGGAATCCCGGTAGACAGATCTCGGCACGTGCATGCGTAGGTGCATATTTCCGGCAGCATGCCACGTGGTTGCGTATTCTACGCATGTGAACACTCCAATTTAAAACAATGTTTTCTCGCCTTGCCGAAAATACGTAGTGAATCCGTATCAGTGGCGGCTTCTGACCAAAATATTGGGGTTCACAATGACAGAATATAGGTCTCACTGAATGTTTTTTACCTATAATTGTTCTGAGACCTATATTCTATCATTGTGAACACCCAATATTTTGGCCACAAACCGCGACTGAAAAAATTTCATATATGCAGAGAGAAAATCTTCAATATTTTGAACATATCGAAAACTTTTCACAAAATAAATTGCATATTTCTGTTTTTCCAGAATATTAAGAACTGCCTATCGCGCAATTGCACAACATATCGCGCGGCTGTGAACCTATTTTTATCGTCTTCCTTTAGAATTCAAGTATATGTCTGCGCGAGTCGTATATCGTTTACGATATACAGACACCGTTTATCTTATATACCCTTATGTGTAATTTTGTTGTATTTAACCTAATTTATGTAATGTGGGCTGCTATCCATCCAAAATGATGCCCATAATTAAAATTATCATTAAAATTATTTTTGACCACTAAAAAGTGGATTTGCCCCACGTGCGTCGGCCGGACGCGTCCTTTTTACACCTTCGCCATATGAGTCAGCTACGCTCGTCTCAACAACGGCCTTACTACTAGAGGAAGGCGAAACGTCGACGTGCGCGCCATTTTTACACCTAAACGACAAGAGTCAGCTACTCTTGTCCTAACAACGGCCTTACACCATAAGAACTACGCTCGTCCCACCAACGGTCTTTTCACACCTCATTGACTTCACCCGCTGTATTCTGTAGTGGTTAGGACGTGAGTGGGACGATCGTAAATGATGTAGGTGGTTGTTTCGAAATTCGCGCGTGCGAACTTATGCTGATAACTTAAATAATTTCATAAAACTTTTTTGTGAACCTATCAGAAATTTAATTTTATTAGTAAGTTGCATTAACTTTTGTACACTTTGTATATACATTTCGACTTCTATCTCTTATAACTAGCATGTGAAATTTCTCAAATATGTGTTATTTGAGAAATATTTTTAGATAACATGGCGGCAGTATTCAAATTTATTACCTATTTTACTTACTCCTGTAATTTTGGGATGTTTGTAATTTTTTCTCTGGTTAAAATGTTTTAAATATCTGAAATACCTTTGAGTTTAAAAATAAAAATTTTAATCAGTTCCGGCTGAACCTTTGAAAGCATCCAGGGGTCACGTCACGGCTGACTCAACAGAAATTGAACGAATTCAGCTATCCTCTTTAATTGTTAAAGGCGCTAGTTGACAATGCATAAGATAAATTTCATATTTTAAAAAAAAGTTTAAAAACTTTTGCATTACACAAAGTAATTAAGTTTAAAAGTTTTCGAAAAGTATTTTAGAGATAATGTAATATTAATATTTAGTCAATATGTACTACAATTCAATCAAAATGAATGTATAAATCGCCGGATATGGCTGGAAATTAAATGTAAAAGAGTTTTAGGAAACGAAATAAATTAATAATTTTTATGAAATTGACACTCGATTGCCGTAAGTTACCATCGATAGTGTTATCGATTGTCCGATATTTTATCAAATACAGGCACTTAAAAAATTGGCAACATGGCTATAGACAATAATAGAGGTTTCTTAGGAAAATTGACGTTATATAAAAAAATGGTTTATTTTCTGATTAATACAAAATATTTTTATATTAACTTTGGTTAGTTTGGTTTTGCCGTTGATCAAAAATGGTAAGTAGTATCATTTGCATTAAGAATATAGCGAAAATAGTGAAAATTTTTGTATCGTGTAGGATAAAAATAAAAAGTTCTGATGACATGCATACTAAAATAAGAGGCAAACTTACAAAGAGCGCCCCATATCCAACAAAGGCTCCAATAAACTGGCCTGCTAGATAAACCAAAAAATACTGCCATGCGATTTTACTCACGATAAGGAAACCAATTGATACTGCGGGATTTAAGTGGACAGGGCCAATATGATGGAATGTCTGTATAACTGCCAAAATGCTTAAACCAAACGAAAAAGACGGTACAATTGGTCCGAGATCTGGATATCGTATACATCCCATGCAACCTACAATTAAACACTATTATATAGACATTACAAGACGAGAATTGAAAATTAAAATTGTTCATTACTCACCAATATACATCATTATGGCTGTACCAACAACCTCTGTAAAAAAACTAATTATATACGGTGGATATTCTCCGCCCTCATCCCCCATTCTCTTTATTCAAATTTTGAATCGGAAAAATTTACCAGTTGACAATCCTACATAAATGACATTTAAAGAGCATAATTACAAAATTTACAGTAGGCTAAAATGACAAAGCTCGGTTGAGCAATACTTAATCTTACAGTTAGAATCAAAACCACAGAATATCGAAATCTTACGAAAGTAGCAATGCAAAAAATTGTAGATATTTACACACACAATTTTTGTAAAACATAATCAAGAAGTGTAAAGTGCGTAGAAAACCATAATACGAAGGATTGTGGAAGAATCCTGAACAACAGCACAATATAAACTACCTAATGGAACACCTTCATATCTATAGAGGTTATGAAATAGCTAAAACCTTTTAGATGAGATGTGCCATTCGTACAATAGTTAAGAAATAAGCCAAGCTTAGAATGACATTTTTCCGTAAAAATATTCGTTAACTAAGCTTTAGATAAATTTAACGTGAAGTTTATAATATGATGGTTCGCACTAACAGTTTTTAATCAACGCTTTATTTAACGAATAAAATACTTGGCAACTTCGAAATTTTCTTCTTTTTTATCATGATCCACATATAAGATTGCTTTTCAGCTATTTAGATTTTGTGTTTTAAGGCCATAGCCCTCGAGGGCTATGTTTAAGGCCGATTTATAAACTTGCAGTTTCCGTCGCCATTTACCGTTTCCATTCCCGTTTCTGTTTGATGTCGCAGTCGCCGTTGATATTCATAATTTATCACATACTTTGATTTTCTTTTAAAACACCTAAAATTTTATAAAAAGTGAATCTATAGGTACATGGTTGTCAGGTATATCAGAATTCAAGCAGTTCATTCTCTTCAACAAGCTAGATGTGCCTGGAAATGTAACCATCAGTTCAAGTGCAAACCCAAAAGAAAAGTTGAAAGAAATCATAGATGATGCTCTCGAGTATAATAGAATATCTTGCTAAAAAACACAAGTTGTTTTTTATAAAATCTGCATATATCTATCTTGGAGATCAAACATAAAATTTGTAAAATTCAAACAAATTTCAATACACATTTATTTAAAACAACAAAGTAAGGAATATTTTTTAATTTCTATATAATTTCTTTTAATAATAGTATGTGCGTGGAACACATACTTTGATTTTCTCTTACTATACGGAGAATGGTCGCACTGCGCAGCTTTTTGAGTGCCTTTTAAAAGGAGATAGAAAACTCCGCCATTTTGATCCCTTATTACACGTGTTGCCTATATCTTGGCGCAATATTTTTAATAGGTGCGTTTTAATCATCCGCTTCTGCTTCGGAATAGTCGGTTTTCTTGTTTTAATCTGACAAGTTTTAAACGACTAAACCGACAATTCCAGAAGCAGAAGCGGATAATTAAAACGCACCTGATATTTTGCTTGCTGCTGTCAGTATCAGTGAATATTATTTTTGGAGTCACCGTTTATTGCTAAAGAATCACTTAGCTCACTCGGACCAGTTGAAAGTTCCAAAATAACATCCACTCCAGGGATACAAATTCAGGATACGCAGAAGACTGATGTTTTATTATAGGCGGTTGTCATATATTGTATTATCCGA